TGATCCGGTCTTCATTGGCATACTTTCCAGCAGGAATCATTCAACAGCATGCAGCAGCAAACCTGATTTTCCCCTCCCTAGACCAGGGGCACTAAACCCAACTTCTGCAACCCCACTGTTGCCATAGCTCAGCACACACCAGGATTTGAACCTCAAACCTTTTAGCTATTTGTCCATCAAGCCATCATGAAACTCAAAACAGGTTTTGAATTTTTTTTACAAGGTAACTACTGTACATCATGATTTAAGAACAATTAAACTTTCTAATGACCAGAGCATGCAAAGATTCAAAACCGTGCAGTTTCATCAGATTTTTTTAAAAACAAAATTTGTACATGCTTTTGACTAATTTAATATAGTTGAGTAACAAGGCACAACTGCAATGCTGCACAACCACAATGCTGCATCGTGTATGAAGTAGCCTAAAAATCCTACCAGTTCCATAAACTGATCGCTTACTGGTGCTAATGTTGACTGGTGCTAATGCTGGTGCTGACAGCTGAGTAAGGTCTTCGCGCAGGTCATCTCCTCCAACCTTCACTGCGAGGAGATGCTGGATTTCCTCGAGTCCAAAATCAAGGGAATCCGCTCCGCGGTCACTGCCCCTCCAACATACACCCACCCGCCACCCCTTCCCTCCTACACGCCGACTCCTACCCATCCTCCCCTACACAGCTTCGAACCCATTTCCCCACCCTCTGTCACCAAACTCATCCTGTTCTTGAAACCCACCACCTGCTTCCTGGACCCCATCCCCACTCCACTCCTTATCTCCCAGTGCTGACAGCATCAGCATCCAAGGCTGCGCTCTCCACCTCTCAAAGCCAGTCAGGAACCTCGGTGTTCTGTTCGACCCTGAGCTGTCCTTTCTTCCCCATATCCGCACCACAACTGGCACCGCATTCCACCACCTCCGGAACATCGCCAGACTACGGCACTACCTCACCCCTCACGCTGCTGAAACTCTGGTCCACGCCTTTATCACCTCAAGGCTCGACGATGGGAACTCTCTCCTCGCCGGCCTTCCCGGCACCTCCCTCCACAAGCTACAGGTCATTCAGAACTCTGCAGCTCGTGTACTGTCCCGCACCAGGCTTCGGGAACACATCACTCCCACCCTCGCTCGCCTCCACTGGCTTCCCATCCCCCAGAGGATCGAATTCAAGATCCTCATCCTCACCTACAAGGCCATTCACGGCCTTGCTCCCTCCTACCTCTCTGATCTACTATCCCCCTACTTACCTGCCCATCCTCTGGCTCCGGTCTGCTCCACATTCCCCCGCCCTAACCGCCCTACCATAAGTGGCCGGGCCTTCAGCCTCTCAGCCCCGAGGCTCTGGAATTCCATCCCCCAGTGCCTTCACTTGCTTTCTCCCTTTCCTCCTTCAAGGCCGATCTCAAGACCTTTCTCTTCAACCGTGCCTTCAGCTTTCCTCTTGACTCTCTACCCCCTCCTCGCTACCTCCCTTCCCTCCCCTCACCCTGACGATTTTCCCCCTGCTCGTGTCCTGACCCCACTGTCCAGCGCCTTGGGACGTCCGCCCGACGTGAAAGGCGCTCTATAAATGCAATCTTGTTGTTGTTGTAAGCAGTTCCACTACTGCATTGACTACTGCAGTGTTAAAAATCTGCATGCAAAACCCTTTTATCCTGACAGAATAATTCAAAAACTTGTTGGAATAAGCATCAAGAAAGAATTGGCTAAGCTTGCTATGGCTCAAGCAAGACAAGCTTGATTCACCTTGCTATGTGCCAGCTTCAAAGAACTGTAGTACTGAGGCAAAAGGCAATGAAAAACTTCCTCTGCCTCATAAACTAATTGGAGGAATGGAGTCAGTGCTCAACTTCAAGTGGTTTAATTATATGACTTTTACTCTATTGAACTGAAGCTTCAGTTCAATAGTAGAATACAAATTTACATTTATATAGTGCCTTTCATGGGAGGGTGTCCCTAGGTGCTAAAAATTGGCTTGGCACCCAAGGTGGGGGTGGGAACTGAGGGGAATGGAGAGGTGACCAAAAGCACAGACATTATGACACATCTTTAAACAAGCTGAGGGAGGGAGGAAAGGATGGAGTTCCAGAGAGTGGGGACAGATAGGCTGAAAGCCTGCACGCCAATGGTGCAACACGTAGTGCAGCCGATAATGAAGCAGACCAGTGCCTGCTGAACTAAGGGAGCAGCCAGGTTGGTAGGGTGAAACATATTCAATATACACTGGTAGTGCTCAGCATCACCTCCAAAGCCTCCATTCATGTTTTTTTTGATGGCAGGCCTTTAGCATGCTCCATGATCAGCAAACAAGAACAACCCATACCCACTTTTCTCTCCAATATAGTGTGTTTCAGCATTGTGTAGAGCTTCACTTAGTAGCATGGCCAAATAACCATTCAGTCTATGAACCCTTGTGAGCTTTAGTCTCAAGATTTGAAATTGTTTACGAGTTAAAACAGATTCAGATATTCTTTAGAACTCCAAAAATCTATAACTAGTTCACGTTTGCCACCAAACAAAAAATACAAATGCATCAGTGCAAATATCTATGAAGCTGAAAAGTAGAACGCAGGTCCACACTGAATACATGTGCACCAAAAGTAGTTCATGTTTTATGAGATCACCTTTCAAAGGAAATGACTGCTTAAAAAAGTAACTTCAGGTAAAAACAATTAGAGAGTTGATTGAATTTCCTCTGGCTCCGAGCCTACTGAGAACATGGAAATACTATCTGTGAAATGCAATTAGTAATTTTTGTTGAAATTTGCATTAAAGAGAAAGATATTTGTGCTAGTAATTTTTCCACCCAACTTCACCTCCACTTCCAGGTTAACTACAACATCGGTAAAACTGTCTTTCCTCTGTCTCAATAATGAATCTTCAAAAAAAAGTATCCACTCCCACATTTCTCTCCTCAGCTACTTTAGTGGCTTTGGGCTTAGATTGTCAACAGTATGAATTAGTCAGTACTGAATAATGTAATTTGGAAAACTGGATTGAATATTCTAGAATACCAATTATCTTTGAGGAGGTGTGAAAGTAATTCATTATGCTCCCAAAAATATTACTTGCAATTATTTTTTCAGACATGGGTCAGGCTTAGTACTCTCACTTCCCTGTCATAAGAAGTGACTGAGTCACAAATCACCTCTTGTGCAGGAGTGAGAAATGTACTCCTTTAGGTCCCTCATCCAAAATCGTCCTCTAAAAACTGGTCATTCATTTCACTGCAGTTTCTAGACATTTCTGATGGTGTTTATATAATATAATAATAATAATAATCCTTGCATTTGATATAGCGCTTTTCACGTCAGGAGGACGTCCCAAAGCGCTTCACAGAACACACTGTAAAGTGAATTGACTGTATATTTGTGGGCGAACGCGGCAGCCAATTGCGCACAGCAATGTCCCACAAACAGTCATAGATTGAAAATGACCAATTTTAATATTGTTTTAGTTTTGGAGGGATTATTATTAGGCTCTGTGTGGAGTAAGGAAACTTGCCCAAGGTTTCGCCCTCTGCCTGGAATTGAACTCAGGTCTCTCACTTGCAAAGCGAGTGCTCTAACCACTGAGCTACAGGACTCCACGTTTACCTGCTGCATTGCCTACATAAGTAACAAATATAGTACTTTCACTCCACAACAAGTGCTCCCTGTACCTTTAAAGCAGTCTCTTTTCAACGGTGCCTTTGGTCACGTTTACCCCACCCCTCATCTTCCTCAGTGCCTCTCTTTTCCTCAACTACATGCTCCACCTTGGTGACATCATCTGCAAACATGCGTTAGTTTCCATATGTATGCTGATGCTACCTAAATCTCTCGCCAGTTCTACTCTTGGTTGCAGATGCACAATTTCTGACCACTTGCTTATCATACATCAAGTCCCAGAAGCTCAACCTTAGCATTCAGTTTGATTCTCAGCTATTTTTCTTCCTCAAAATCCAGTCCCTGACCAGCACCACCTTTCTGCAGTTTCACATCACCTATTTCTTATGCTTAGTGCAGTTGAAACCTTCTTTGATAGCTTCATCACCTCCAGACTCGACATTTCAAATGCCCTCCTCGCAGATTTCCTCACATCTACAAGTTCAAGCTCATCTACAACTCAGGACACCTGCATCCTTAACTGCTTCTCTAATTTCTTTCTCCTGTCTTGTTGCCTTTGCTATTTCCCATACCTGGAATTCCATTTATTTTTCTAGTTGCCTGTCCTTTTCGTTCGCCCTTTGACTGGTGCCTCAACTTAGTGTGTCTACCACATACAGTGTCCGAGGCTTGTACTGAAATTCAATTCTATATCTCAATTCTATTTCTATAGCCATGAAGGAGGCAGTGTGTAGTATATATAGTTCCTTAACACGTCTTTGAGACATGTCAAAGCGCCTCACAGAACACACTGCAAATTGGATTTACTGTATATTTTGTGGGCAAAATACATTAGCCAATTGCGCACAGCAGTGTCCCACAAACAGTCGTGGATTGGGTGACAAAATTATTATTATTATTTTTGAAGGAATGTTACCTCCAGAAAAGTAATCCGCCAATTGATTAACAATAATAACTTATCTATGATTCCTATCAATGCTTGTGTCACTGCGTATTTATTCATCAACCGACAAACGATAATAAATAATATTTATTATTATTTATCTGCCAATCAACTAACAATAATAAATAACAACTTGTCTACGATTCCATCAGCGTAGCTGCTCGGGACATCCTCCCAACATAAAAGGAGCTATACACATGTAATGTGTTGTTGATTAATAATAATCCTTGCATTTGATAAAGCTTATGTTTCGCACACAAAGTATACAGTCAATTCACTTTCCAGTCTATCCAGTGAGGTGCTTCGAGACGTCTCAACGACCTGCTAAGGAGTTATATCAAATTCAAGGATCATTATTATCAAACACACACAATATCCCAACAAAACAATCACTCAGCGGAGAGAGGAAAGGTGGTGAGAATTTGTCCGTTTGTCATTGATTGAGATCTCCCGAGGGAGGTGCCCCGAGCCTGGAGACACTGCAATACCAGGTGGATGTGCGGAGTGGCCGGAGCGAGCCCCAGCTCCAGCTCCAGACATCCATTTAATATATGGTTCCCAGATAGGGGATGTATCAGATATTAAACTGATAAGAACAGATACTACACTTGATCTTAGCCAAAAGGCCGAGAAGCAAAAACCCAATTAATCTCTGCCCCTCGACAACAGCCTCCTGTCCTCCCGTCAGCTTTCACATGTTTCTCTCCTGCAGACAAACAGACCTTCCCCCCCACCACCTGCCTATACTCTCTACACCTCCTGCCCTTCCCCCCTCGCCAGCCTCCGCACCCCTCCTTGCCCTATACCCTTCCTTTCTCGGCCCTCTTCGCCCGCACTTTGGCCGCCTGCCTGCCTGCCTGCCCCTCGCTTCCTTCCCTGCTGCCTCTCAGTTCATTTCCCTATGCCCTCCTTCACAGCACACATGTCAGTCATTTGATTGATCCTCGTTCCCTCCCTCACTCGCTCTGACTCACTGGCTTCGCTACACATTAACTCCTTCCTACTCTGCCTGCCAAGCCCTGCAGCTCACACAACTACTGCTGATAATCAGCCTTGCATCTCACACAGCACCTTATCATGTCATCCACACGGTCAATTCATTTTTACAGTAGATTCTGCAAAATGCTTTTCCATAACAACGACGTGATAAGGCGTTACGTCAAACAAAAGCATTATTTTGTCCTTCCTCTCAAAAGTTCTAGAACGCGTTGTTGCCAACCAACTCCGCGCTCATTGTGACAATGATCCTCAAGTCATCCCGGCAATTACATGACTCAAGCAAAACAAACTAGTAAATGTTAGAAAAAGAAAAGAGTGAGTCACTAACAAGCCAGAAACACAGGAGAATACACAGAAGGTTTTTTTTAAAACCCCATAGAGGAGATGCTAATCCATCTCTTTATTATAATTTACGAATAGCTTCAGTTTGCACATATATGGAATAGCTTCAGTCTGGAATGCATTGTTGCCAACCAACTTCGCGCACACCTCTCCCTCCACACCCTACTCAAACCCCTCCAGTCTGGTTTCCGCCCTGCCCACAGTACAGAGACAGTGCTCGTGAAAGTCACAAACGACATCCTCTCTATCTGTGACCAGGGCTCCCTCTGCCTCCTTGTCCTCCTGGACCTCTCCGCCGCGTTCGACACAGTCGATCACGCCATCCTCCTCCACCGCCTTTCCTCCATCATCCACCTCAGTGGTCCGCACTCGCCTGGTTCGAGTCCTACCTCACAAACCGCCAGCAGTACATCTGCACAAATGGCTTCTCCTCCCGCTCTCACCCGGTCACCTGTGGGGTACCCCAAGGATCCATCCTTGGCCCCCTCCTCTTTCTGATCTATATGCTCCCTCTTGGGGATGTCATCCGCAGACATGGGGTACATTTCCACATGTATGCAGACGACACCCAACTCTATTTTTCCACCTCACTTTGCGACCCCCAGTCCCCTGATGTTCTGTCAGCCTGCCTGTCAGATCTCAGGGGCTGGATGAGCGCAAATTTCCTTCAGCTGAACGTTGACAAGACAGAAGCCATACTCTTTGGCTCTCGTCAACATCTAAAATCTCACGGCACTCAACTCCTCCACCTACCCGACCTCCCCCTAAAACTCTCCGAACCCGTACGCAACCTAGGCGTCAGGTTCGACCCCCAATTATCCTTCCTTCCCCACATCTGGTCCCTCACCAACACTGCTTTCTTCCACCTCCGATGTATCGCCCGTCTCCGCCAATACCTCGTCCCAAAAGCTGCTGAAACCCTGGTCCATGCCTTTGTCACCTCTTGGCTGGACTATTTTAATGCCCTCCTCACCGGTCTCCTACCCACTACCATCCACAAAATCCAAATCATTCAAATCTCTGCCGCCCACATTCTCACCCGCACGAAATTCCGCTCCCCGATTACCCCAGTCCTTACCAGACTGCACTGGCTGCCTATCCCAGAGAGGATCGATTTCAAGATCCTCACCCTCGCATTCAAGTCCCTGCATTTCTCTGCACCCCCCTACCGCTCTGACCTCCTCTCTCCTCAAAACAGTACCCGTTGCCTTCTTTCCTCCGGGTCTGGCCTCCTTCTCGTCCCTCGGTCTACCCTCAGTGGCCGTACCTTCAGCCACTATGCCCCGAGGCTCTGGAACTCCCTTCCTCACTCCCTTCGCCTCGCTCCCTCCCTTCCTATTTTCAGGTCTCTGCTGAAGACCTTTCCTTTCGACCGCGCCTTTGGTCACCTTCCTCCCCCTCCCCCTGGCTCGGCCCCGGGATCCGTTGCTGTGAAGCGTTCTGAGACACCGTCCGGCGTGAAGGGCCAAGTTGTTGTTGTATTATTAGGGGGATTAGCGAATCGCTTTTCTTGGGTTAATAATTAATCCCTTCAAAATTAAAATCAAATAAAATTTAAAATTTGGTCATTCAATCCATTTATACTTTTGTATGTATTACTCCGAAGTGTGGGTGGTATCCTAAGGTTTGAGTGTTGGGGCCAAACCCTGTCCTTTCATGTTCTTATCTATGATTCCCATCAGTGCTTGTGTGGCTGCTATTTTGTCCTTTTTATCTGCCCTTTGTAACTTCTCACACCTTCTCAGGCAGTAGTTTTCTTGGCTACAGACTGTCAGGCACCCAAAATCTACATCTCAACATATCCCAACAGCAGTCAGCACCTTTAGAAAAGTTGGAAAGAAAACTGGAAGAAAATAGAACAAATACTGTACATAAGATGATAAAACATTTAGTTCCATATATTATTCTTACTCAGAAAAATGCATTTATAAATAACTTCTTGGAAAACTAGTGGAGCACAAATGTAAGCATAGAACTGTTTTAGCAAATTCAAAATCCGCTTGATGCGTTAAAAAAAACCCAACATAATTCAAAATTATGAGAGGTTTTGATAAGAGTAGATAATGCGAAACTGTTTCCACTGACATGTAGGTCAGTAACCAGGGGACATAGATTCAAAATAATTGGCAAAAGAACCAGAGGGGAGATGAGGAGAATCTTTTTTACATAGCAAGTTGTTATGGTCTGGAATGCACTGCCTGCAAGAGTGATGGAAACAGATTCAATAATAATCCTTGCATTTGATACAGTGCCTTATTACATCTTCGAGACATCTCAAAATGCTTCACAATAACAACTTTTAAAAGGGAATTAGATAGGTACTTGAAAAGCAAAAATTTGGGAAGATATGGAGAAAGAGCGGGGAGTGGGACTGATTGAGTAGCTCTTCCAAACAGCTGACACAGGCACAATAGGCCGAATGGCCTCCTTCTGTGCAGTAATATTCTACGATTTTACGATTCAAACATGTAGAAGTTCTCAATCGTGATTTTAAGTTTTTAGAAAAATACTTAAAATTACGTAATAAGTTGAATTTAATTCTCTCCATTTTATTTAGCTACACTGTGAATTGTTATATGGCCGTTTTAAATCATGATTTACAGGATACATCAGTCACAACTCAATAAAATTGATTTTCTATTTGTCACTTCTATGCTAAGGGCTAGGTCACTCAAAATTTCCTAGTACTGACGAACTTTCCCGGTATCGGTAATGCTAAAGAGACCTTTATCAGCATTCTCAAAGGAATTGGTCAGCATATTGCAGAAATCACATAATACCACTTTTACAACTCTGCTCCAGTGCCAAACCGGAAATTCTTACCCCCCCATCTTTTACTGTGTCGATGAGTGTTGTCACAGTTTATGTGAACTAAGTACAGAAGTACAGTATGAGAATATCATAAATCCCCCAGCTTTCCCCATGTTACACTTTACTGAAATAAGAGTGGATAAAATCAGCTATGTAACATTTAACAGATCTACCAGTGCACTTTGTTGAATCCTGAATCACAGTACTACTATATTTGCTATATTACAGAAGTATTGGTCACAAATCATAGAAGAATACTTTATTGTAAGCCATTTTAAGGCGTTGCTAGTATTTAGTGTCGACAGCGGTCAAAGTTCAGTTTGTCCTTGCATTTCTGTACTGTAAATTCCTACGCTGCTCTGATTAACAATTGCACGTTTAAATCGTGTCCACAGTATTAATACTGGCCTTGGGTCATATCCAGACATCTGTTGTGCAAACGCCTGCAAAAGGCAAGACATAAACTGAGGACTGAGTCGAAGTATGATGTTACAACCTAGGCTGTCAGAATTGTAACATTTAAAACAGAAACAGATGCTGAAAAAGTTCACCAAACCACATCTACTGAAGCAACATCACTAAGATTCTCAAGTTGCTTTTGTATCATTTAAATGGAATTAATCATTAATCATTTAATGGAATTAAATTTATAAGTGCTTACAACAAAGCACAACCTAGGGACAATTTGTGACCCACCTCACCTTCACCTGTAACCCTCAGCAGATTTGCTGCATCATGTCCCTCCAGGCTTCTACTCACTGTGCTGGAATTCAGTGCTTTCTCGTGCTCTTCAGCAAAGAGTAAGGAAAGGCTGTTAGGAAGCAAGGATTATCTCAGGCTTCTTTAAAGCAAGTGAAAAGGAGTTGCATTATAATAGAACTATTTAACTGAAAAAGATTGGTAATTTTTCCTCTCCCCATTTTTCCTGGGTTTAAGCACGAGGTGTCCACTTGGCAACTGCCTACAGTGGCCTGATCGAAATCAGGAGCTGTGTGTGCGGAAGTGCAGCACAGACCCACATCCCATCACTCCACAGATTTTGGAGCATTTCCAAGAGTGGCCCTCAAGCAAATCATTTTTGGGGATTGCAGCCCCCAACAAAGTTAATAGCACCAGTTTACAGAAATGAAAATAATATAGATGCATAAAATCAGTGGGATACATTCTCTAAAAATGTATTTATTCAGCAACAGCATGGTAACTATTTCAATATTTCTATGTTGTTTTTAAAACCCAGCAAATATTTTAGTGTATCAGCCTGGCTCAACTGGTAGCACTCTCACCACTAAATCAGAGGATTGTCAGTTCAAGACCCATACCAAAATCTGGAACTTTTAAATAGTTTATGCTCATACTTCAATGCAGTGCTGGGGATGTGCTGCATTGTTAGAGGTGTCGTCCTTCGGTTGAGACGTTAAACAAGGCCCTGTCTGCTTGTTCAGATGAACATTAAAGATCATGGTACTATTCAAAAAGAAAGTTTCTC